GACTCGACGGCACATAACAACAACAACAACAACGTCATTGCTTCCAGTTTTCCCAGGAAAATGGCAAGTTGTCAAAGGTGAAGTGGATGGAACACATAAATATTGACAGCCTAGGCTGAGGTGAGCCGAGATGCATTGGTACTAGCCATTCTTAACCAGACAGTTACATGATCTGTGATGCTAGAAATGACCGTTGAAGAGGAATGAAGGCATTCGTTGTCAGAAAAAGCGTTTCAAGATCTATCCTAAAGTGCGGTGCTGTGACAGGACACTACCCACACCCATACAAGGAAGCCCTTTTAAAACAACTATCATTCAAATATGTACACCAACCATTAGAGCTTAAATGAAGAAAGTGCAGATTTCTACCAGCTTTTGCAGTCTGAAATCGATCTAATATGCAGTCAAGATGCATTTAATAATAATTGGTTACTGTGCATTGCTGTACAGAGGTAACTTGTGGTTGCTGTGATGCTAAAACACTGTGACACTGATGTGCCAAATGCAATAGTGGTTACCCATGGTGGGCAGTGTTTGGTGGAGCTCCCCGATTAAAACAAGCTTGGAAGCAGGAGTGGCATCCACTTCTGAAATGGCTTGCCTCCGGAAACTCTATGATCAGTGCTCAGGTCTTTCGTTCATAGGGTTGCTGAGTTATCTATGACTTGATGGCACTTAATAACAACAACAAAATGTAGAAGTTAGAAATAAAGAAAGATTGATAGTTAGAAAATATGCCCCTGGGTGATAGAAATGAAGCTGGAGGAGAGGTCGCATGATAAAAGTTTAGGTTCGAATCCACCGGATGCCCCACTGGAGAAGGAGGGGCAATCTCCTCCCATGTCAGTCAGATCTGATTGGCTGGTACACAACAAGGAAAAACAACAACAACAAAGAAGTTTTATTAACTAAAAACCCCACCATAAATGGCGACTATGCACATGGACCTCACCTGATGGACTATACAAGAGTCAGATTGACCGCATCTGTGGAGAGAGACATTGGAGAAGCTCAACGTCCGCATTGAAACCAGGCCCCAGGCTGATGATGGGACGAACCATGAAACTGCAGGTGAGCAAAACCAAAACGCGGACCTTGAGTGCACCCTAACTCAGTTTTAAAACCGTCTTGAGAAACGATTCGAGGCACTGAACACTAGTGACCCAAACCGAGACCTCGAAGATGACATCCGTGAAGAAAGCACAAGGTCATTGCAGAGACGGAGGAGAAAGAAAAGAGCAAGAGACTCTCAAACAGGCACCGGAACAAAAGGTTCCCAAATGAGACAAAGGCGTGCTGGGGCGGGGGAGAGCTAAGCAGAAGATTTCACAGGGCAGCTCGAGAAGACAGCGGTGTTACAGTGAAATGTGCAAGGACCTGGAGTCAGAAAACTGAAGAAGAAGAATCTACACAGCACTTCTCAAGCGGCAGGAACTGGAGAACAAATTCAAGCTTCAAGTTGCAATCGTGAAGGATTCTATGGGCAAAATTTGAATGATTTGAATTCCAAAGATGAAACGAATATACAGTCATTGTACCAAAAAGAAACCATTAACATTGAATCATTTCAGGAAGTAGCCCATGAACAAGAACGAGTAGTACTCAAGGAAGAAGTCCAAGCTTCCCTGAAGGCACTGGCAAAAAAAAAAAATAATAATAAGGTCCCAGGAATTGGTTGAATATCAGCAGCCCTGGTCGTGCTCACCAGACTCTGACAACAAATATGGAAGGCTGCTACCCTGCCAACCGACTGAGAGACCCGCGTTTGTTCCCATTCCAAGAAGGGTGATCTAAGAGTGGGGAAGTTATTGAACAATGTCATTAATACCACAAGCCAGAAGATCCTACTGAAGATTACAACAACTTGAGCAGTACATCAACAGGCAACTGCCAGAAATGCCAGCTGGATTCGGAAAAGGCTGATGTCAGAGGGGTTGCCACAGAGATGTTGACTTGTGTTTCATTGATTATGCAAAGGCACTGAGCTGTGTGCATCATTAAAAATTGTGGGTAACGTCGAGAAGAATGGCAGTCCCAGAATGCTTAACTGTGCCCATGCGAGGCTTGCACACGGTCCAAGAAGCAGTTGTGTGCACAAGAGTGTGGAACACAGCGTGGTTTAAAATCAGGAAATGTGCATCAGGGTTGTGTCTGCTTTCCATACCTCTTCCGTTTATATCCTGAGTACGTAACTGAGAAGCTAGGCTGTATGAAGAAGAATGCGGCGCCAGGATTGGAGGAAGACTCACCAACAACCTGTGTTATGCAGAGGACACAATCTGACTTGCAGAAAGTGAAGAAGCTTGAAGCACCTATTGCAGAAGATCAAGGACTACAGCTTCAATACTGATTACATCTCAATATCAAGAAAACAAAACTCCAATAGCAAAGAGCTGGAAACAGCCCAAGTGCCCATCAAAAAAAAACGGATGGAGAAGCTCTGGTATATTCACACAATGGAATACTATGCAGCACTGAAAAACAAGGAACTCATGAAACATTATGCTGGAGGACATTATGCTGAGTGAAATATCTCAGTCACAAAAGGACAAATATTGCATGGGGCCATTGTTGTAAAACGGGACTGACACTGGGGTTGAGAGAAGACAGAGAAGGAGGGGAGGAATGATGTATACCGCATTGAAACAGATGAGGGAGAGAACTGCTTAAAAGGAATATAAGATTGGGTATTATTGTCATTATAGGAGTCCAGAATGAAGGCTGCATAGTGGAGTGGACTTGGGGCAAGGATTGTATAACAATGAAAGAGTTTTTCTTTTACTTCTCAAGGAGAAGAGTG